CCCAACCAAAACATTGATCGGCCCAGAAAGAAAAACATGGCCGGTCTTATAACAGCTCGTGCATTCTTCCCCAGATGTTTACAGGAAATTCCATTATTTCCGGGGCTCGTTTCTCTGTTCTGACGCCCGTCTGTGTGTGTGTGTGTGTGTGTGTGTGTGTGTGTGTGTGTGTGTGAGTGCGCGCGTGTTTGTGTGTGCGTTTGTTTGTTTTTCTTTTTTCTTTTTTACTTCTCTTTTGTCAGACTCACTCTCTCGCAATTAAAGCTACCCATGAATATATATGTATGTATTTATGTAAGCCCTATGTATGCTCATATTTATATACTATAAATATACAATCGAACTTGTGTAAGACGGCCACCGATCGTCCAAATCAAAAGTGGCCAATTTAGACAGGTGGCCGTCTCAGGCAGGACTGATGAAATAAATGTAAAAAGCAAACGATTCCCTTTTGAAGTCCCAACCGAAGGTTGTTACAGCCTTATTGGGACTGACGATAGGCTTATCAAATGTATTTTATTTTGCTTATTTTTTAAAATTTATTTATTTATTTATTTTATTATTTATTTTTTTTATTTATTTATTTTGGGGGGTGGGGGTTAGGTCGAGAGGGAAAGAATGTTTTTGTTGTTGTTCTTGCTGGTTTTGCTTGTTTGTTGTTGTTTGTTTGTTTGTTTGTTTTTGTTGGGGGGTTTTTTTTTGGGGGGGGGTTAATTCTCTTTGTTTTGTGTTCTTTTTTTAGTTTGTTATTTGTTGTTTTTGTTTTCTTTTGTTTTGTTTTGTTGTTGTCAGTTGTTGTGATTGTTTGTTTTTTGGGGCTTTTTTCGTCTTTGTTCTTTGTTGGGTTTGTTTGTGGTTTTTTGTGGGGGGGGTTTTGGGGGGAGGGCTAAAGGGGAAAAGGGTTATTTTTTATTTTTTTTAACATTCCCTTTTGAGTTCCCAACTGAAGTTGGTTGCAGGCTCGGGACGTGGGTTACATTTCTACATTGATACCGCAATCAACAGCTGGATTTATCTGAATGTCTGAAACAATGTTTTTGTTTACACAGAGGACTGTTGTAATAAGTGTTAAAGTCTACACAGTGTATCAAATGACGAAGGCAGTGTGCAAGGGTAAAATAAAACGAAAAGTGTCAGACGAGGAAGGAAAGGTTTACTAAAGAGAGATGGATAGCTCGGAGAACGAGTAACGCTCACATCGCAAGTTCAGATTCATGTCTATTGTTAAAGACTGGGAAAACAGTGACGGGTCACCTCACTCACGATTTGTGTATGAGCTGTGGGTGGGGCTTATAGGTTACTAGCTGGACCCCCTTTCGATGAAAGGAACGATTGGTGCTTTAATATCAACTAAAAGTCATTGGCCTACTAAATATTTTTCACACTACTCGAATGGGGCAATAAAATATTCTCAAAACAAAATGCGCCTCGCAAAATATCATTTCCGGATTTTCTAAAATTACAGAGACAGAAGCGTCGGCCTGCAAAAGCGATCGGCGAAATAAAGAAATTTATCTTTTTGCAGCAAAACTGTCTCAAAACTGAAAAAAAACAAGGGCGTCATGCTCTGGAGAATATTTCAAAGAATCTTTTGGCGAAAACCGCATGTCGATCGATACAGCCATTAAAAAGCCTTTTGAATAGCAAAATTGGGCCACCACAAATAGATAATAGATGACGGACCACACGCTTCCGTCACCAGCAGATGAAAAATTATTGTTGCCGGGTGGTCAACTAACTGGGGTCAACAACAGTGGGTGTGACTTACCCAACATGATTGGGCATTGGATGAACTAACAAAAACGGCAGGGAATGGATTATTACGACTCGTCCACAGCGTCAGGGGCCAAAGCAAAGTTTATGACAAAGTGCTGGTCGAGCGATGTGAATGCCTGTCTCAGACAGGTAATTTCGATTTATCGCTGTTAAAATAAGGTGACCTCGGCGGTTTTGGACAGGTGCCCCTTTCACTAGATGAAACTATATAGGAAAAACGCAAGGGGTTGAGGGGGGGGGGGTGTGAGGAAAGTAAAAATCAGTTCATATAGCCGTACTATTCAGATGGCTGTCATAGCAGGCCCGACTGTATAATATATCCAAAATAATATGGGAGGGAAGAGCGTCTACAGAAACTCACATATTTTGTTTGTTTTTTATAATAACTCAATAACCGTAGCTAACAGGGGATTTGGGGGATCTCAGAGATGCACACTTTAAAAAAAAAGTATCAAAGCAATCCATTTTTTAGCAATATCGATATCATTTGATTGTTGATTATGGGCTTGGGACAAGAATATTATATCAATTTGAGATATGGCTGCATTAGATGCTGTAATTGTGCCCTCGTATTGCAACTTACTATTTTCTGAGTATTAGCCATTTTAGCTCACTTGTTGCACAATATTGGCTCAGTGACAGAAAAAAACAACACTACAACAAACATAATAAGTAATTTCAAAGAGTCTTCCTAACAAGAGGGGCCACTTCTCTCTTTGAGCCAATTAAAAAATGTCCTCAAAATTCGGTGGCGCCCTCTTCGCAAAAGCGCATCTTTTGCGAACAGAGTTATCCTACTTGAGTTTAAAAAATCAAAGTGAAACTAGCAAGTTTTTAAATAAATTTCGGAAGAACGCTTTTTAAAAAAATGGTTACGCTGACAAAAAACCTCTTCCGGAGGAAAGGGTGGTTGTTTTCTTCGTTTAATTTGACTTTAGAATGAAAGGCGAGAGATCATTAAATTAAAATTTTAAAAACCTAAAACTCCGCACTGAACGAACCCGAACTGCTGATGAACAGCAGTCGATCTGCGCACGCAAGGGGGTGCTATTCCTATTCTTCTTCTGGAAAAACGAAAGAGAGTTGCAAAACAGACTGCAGCGCCATCTGAAGCAAAGAGCGAACTTCCTGTGGACACTTTTTTGACTGAGAGGCCCATCTTGTTATTTACTATCTTTGGTAATTTCAATACATCGCGTAAAAAAGTAGGTTCTAATAAACCGGTTATATTTTTATACAACACGAACACACCTCAATCACTTTGCCGATTGACTGACCTGCGTGACTCTAATTTTATGGAAATATAAGAGGGTAATTTTTGTCAAGGACAATGTAACCGTTGCGTGGTATCGGAAACCAAATTATATCGATATTGTTTGAAAGTGCGTGGCTCTTATCGTGCTCGGCTTTGATACTATTTTTGTCAAAATCGAATGGCTCCTACGCTTTCCCATCTTTTTTTAATTGACATACTGTTTGTCACCGAGTGCTAGCCGTCCCTCCCCCCCCCCCCCCCCCACCACCCCCCTTTTTTCCAAAAAGATTTTTTTTAAAGGTATAACTTTAAAAAAAAGAATCTGTAAAGAAATTAAAATAATTAAAATTTAAAAATAACTAAAACTATTTTTTAAATATCATTTGATCCGATTTACAGCCACCAAAATGTTACTGGATATGCTAACAAAATTAGGGACCAAAAAAAATAATTCTAACGTCGTAGTGACTGGCGTCTGTGGTGAAGCAGTTACATTCTTTACTGTCTCTCGCAGGAGACCCAGTTCGATTCCCGAGTGGGGAGAAAAAATTAATATTAATTCTATCAGTCGTCTTTCTGCTGAGATAATATTGTATCCCTCTCTGCCCGGGTATGCCCTGAGAGGGCGGGTAGGAAGCTCGCCACATAAATGATCCAAGTTTGTGTTGATAGAACTGTAAAAAAAACATCTACATTTTGAAAAAAAACCCCACCAAAGTGGCATACGTGTTCTTACCGTACCACCCCTATCGAGATGACACAGTTTCTTTATTTGGTGTGTTCATTGGCTCAAAAGGAAAGAACAAAGTTGGACTGACCCTACTATTAACAAATAATTGCTGTATTCAGAAACATAGAAACTCGGTTGTTATCTTGCTGTTGAGTAACAGAACTGTCTTCAGTCGAAAGAAGCAGGCTTTTCTTGAACCTTATGCGATTCCGCGCGCTGAAAAAATAGTGGGGGGTTTTTATTTAAAAACCAGACAAACAACCAACAAACAAACAGACTCACACCATACCATGTTGTGCTCTAACGTACCTTAGACATCATCTTTGCTAAAACTTGGCCCTCAGCAGACGCAGAAAGCAATGCTGCAAGTGATTCTGAATAAATTTACATGTAATATATATATATAATTTTGCAGCGCTGCAGAGAGCTCCTAACCGGATATCGTTGAGGGCATTCCTAATAATAAAAAATACATGATTTAAGTCGTCTTATCTCTGACTCGACTGTCTTCCTTTACAACAAGTTCACTTGCATCATAGTGCTGTCAAGACAAGTGGCTCCCAACGCGGTAAAGGACTCTTAATTTGATAAAAACTGGGGAAAACCCACTGACTTGACACTTGGTGAGGATTCTGCAATGGGCAAGCAGACCACTTCAGACAGTGCCAGAGATATGCAAGGGAAATTATCATTTCTGAGACAGCATTGGGAAATTAGGCCCCCGTAAAATAATGAAGGTCAAGAAACTGGCATTTTTCTGCAGGTTGAGGAGTTTGTATTCAATGTTTGTTGGTTTTGTTTTGTTTGTTGTTTTTTGTGTGTTTTTTTTGCTCAACAACTTTCATGCCGATTAAAGAACACATTTCTATGTCGATTTTACTGGAAAAAACATTGATTAAAGGCATAAAAGATAATACCGATTTAAAAAGCAGATAACTCTATGCTTGTATCCGAGATTAGTGGATTATGTCTTTCTTCAAAAGCAAGGCAAATGAACAGGCTTTAAGGTGATACTAAAAACTCCATACGCCCCCTAATTGACGAGCACCTGATTTCACCGCGTCGTGACACATTTTTATTAGGTTAAAAAATCTACTGTAACGTGTGCGTCCGTTAGGTCTCTTCATCTGCCAGTGAGGTGATAGTAGGGATTTTTAGGGGGGGGGGGGAGAGCAGGTGTTGTTATCTGTGAAGACAATTCATTTCGGAGAACAAAGAGAACTTTAAGGACTCCAAAAAACGAAAAAACCTTCTATGTATGTGCTAGAAATGTCTTTATTGTAAACCAAACTAATAAATTTCAAATAATGATATAAATAAATAGCATTTGTATAGCACATATCTCCGCTCAACAGCAGGCTCTATGCGCTTTACACTATATTATTACTCAGGCAGACCATAGAACACTCAGAAACATTCTCAGCTTCCCGGGAAGCATACAGTGCAGGCAGCTGATTAAGCGCTCAAACACTGACAAACTCACCTAGGTGAAGGGAGGAAAATTCGTGTAAAGTGCCTTTCCCAAGGGCACAACGTCGGCCCCCTGACGGGATTCGAACCCACGACCTTACGGTTGCGAGTCTGAGAGCCCTTCAAATGCTGTATAAATACCGATGCTTACATCTCTGAGTATGACAATGTGAGAAAGCTGAGACCAGTTTCAGAAATGCTTTTAGCTGTTTTTGTAGTTATAAAACTTTCCTCTGTAAACTTTCTTTCCGCACAATGGCATTTTAATGAGTCTAGATTAATTTTTTTTCGTTCGTGTACTCAAGTGATAAGACTCACTTGTTTCAGATTACGGCATAATACTTTCAAAAATGCTGACCTCCTTAATTTCGAAAGAACAATATTATGTAGCATGTTTTTTGACACTCCCTGGTCCCTGATAATAGATTGTTTTCTTAACTGAAAGAAGACCGAGTATTTTTCCGAGAATGCTGGTTTATCTTCCCCACTTGACCAAAGCGTTGTTGTAGTCTGGATTTACCGATATCTCATTGGTCGAAAACGTTTCAGCAACAGCCACTGAAACACAAAGAAAATTAGAATAGTGCTTCTATCTGAATGATTAGATTCTGGGCACTTCCGTTTTTTTCTGTGCGCTCTCTTGATAGATTGAAAAGAATAAAGTGTGTGTGTGTGTGTGTGTGTGTGTGTGTGTGTGTGTGTTGGTGTGTGGAAGGGGGGGGGGCACCAAGTCACCCAAGGTTATTTTGACGTCGTAGATAGCATCAAAGATCGTGTACAGGTAGAGAATCTTTGATAGCATTGTGACGTAGCGGGTATGCCTGCTCGTTTAAATTTTCAGCACTTAAAATTGTAACGATATTTACGCTAAATCCAAAATAAAAGCATCAGCTGAGGAAAGAGCTAGAATAAATATTTGTGGGAGGAAACATGACTCCGTCCCAGACTCTGAGTGCCCACTTTGAGTGTTGGTGACATCAGTCTACACTAGCTTGTCGCTGTGCAGTTGAAAGCACAGGGCCTTCGTAGGGTCTTCTAGTGGAGGTTTTAAGGCGCTCGCAACTGCATAAAATCATATGAGCGCCAAGGGATGGATGTCAACAGAGAAGTCCTCACAGGGAATCAGACTTACTCTGTTCACCTCTCTAGCTTCAACAGCACAAAGTCTGATTCGACTATCAAGGCACCCCGGAAATAGTGGAACACAAGAGTGTGACAAACATACAAAAGAAATAGAGGAAAAAATTACAATAGTAAGGATTACGAAAGAAAAAAGCAGCAGTTCCCAGTAGTAGATCAGGCACAGTTATGAGCGTGACATTGATGAATCAGCTCATTTACAATTGTACTGTGCATGAATGAGAAATGTCCCCCCTTTGGGAAAGGCCTAAAGACACTTCAGTCAGTGGCACCGTCCCAGGGGGGTTTCGTAGGGTCTGCAGTATGTAAAAATTTGTTGCGCCGAATGATGACTCCACTTACTGTTCCACTAGTTCCCAGATGATCTCTGCCTTGACGGTGGCTGGAAGTAAACGGTCTCTCGGGTGGCAATAAATACGAAAATGTCGATTTTGTTGTGCGGTTGTAGGCCTTGGTTACCCCACCCTTGGCTGGTCGGCGACACTTCTAGTTGTCTGGAATTGTTCTTGCAGCCTTCCAGTGGATCGTTGATCATGTCTTTGACTTGCACAGGCGATGAACATCGGAATGGCACTGTTTAAAATAGTTAGAAATATCTCCTTTTTTACCCCTTCCACTTAACACTCGGCTCATGTTTACCAGCAGAGCTGCTGTGCCCATTCCAATTCACTATTCGACATTCGTGGTTTTGTGCTGTTCACAGCTATTCAAAACATGGCAGAGCAAATTCTGTGTGATTTTTTTTTCATAATGGATTTATTCTAACTTCACTCAACATGTGTTAAAATTAAATCATGATAAATATCTAAAAATACAGAGGCAAATTCAACATTACGTTCAAGTTGATAATTGCGGTACAGAGTGATATACGGTCATTTGATTATACTGGAAGGTTGTGATTTGTCAATTGGCATTTGCACCAAATATACGACAGGTTGTCCAACTGTTCAAGTGAGCAAGTGAGTGCTTGCAGGTGTTTGTGTGGCTTTGTGTATTTGTGTAAGTGTGTGTATGTGTGTGTGTGTGTGTGTGTGTGTGTGTGTGTGTATGTGTGTGTGTGTGTTTGTATGAAAGTGTGTTTGTGAAAGTGTGCGTATGTGTGTGTAAGTGTGTGTATGTGTGTGTGTGTGTGTGTGTGTGTGTGT